AAAATATATGAAGTTTGAGTAGTTTAGTATTCAATAATTGTGTTGAAAAATAGTACCATCTTGTAGAGCATATATTCAAAGGTGTCTTAGTATTGTATAATCTTCAGTTGTGTGTGTGTGGGTCTATATGTGTTTGTGTATTATATGTATTGCATTCATGTGTGTCCTGTATGGGTGCGTGAGTTGGGGGGGGGGGGGGGGAGTAGGAGTTGTTTGGTCATAGGTGTAAGTTTGTTCAACTAAAACAAAAAGGGTTAATCTAATCCAAATAAGGAATAAGGGGTGTTTGAATGTAGGGTAAATAAGTCTTTTTCACACATTCCATTAGTTTGGATGGAAAACTTAACGGTTACTGTTCAGTCCAAAACCAGAGGGGTTTATGTGTAGTTTTTCAAAATTTAAGGAGGTAATGTGTTATAATAACAAAGCACAAGGAGGCAATTCATAATTTGCCCTTAATTTTAAGGACGCTACTTATTTTTACCTGTAAATAGAAAGCCTAATCTATGTGAAATGTATACATGTATAATTAAAAATTCCATTGCTGCAGATATTCTCTTTCTCTCTCTAATCTTTTTACTCATGATTGTGGCTTTAAATCAAATGTTGAAAAGTTAATTAGAATAAATTAGTGATTTAGATATTAGGAAAAAAAAAACTGAATTTTCGACGATCTATCAAATTTATTATAAGATTTGAGACATTACAAAATCTAGAGAATAGTTGGTCAGAAGAAAGCTAAGAGAGATTCTAAGAGTATAAATTCACACACATACGCAAAAGCGTCTAAAGAGAATGCTCTGCAATGTTTTCTCTTTTCTAGAGAACAGATGAGTGTTTTAGGCCTTTGTTTTTCTTGTATTTTAGTCACGAGTTGAATGAATAGAGACAACAGCAACGAATTTGGTAAACTGTGATCATCTTTATGTCTCACACAAGCATTTTTTTTTTTTTGGGGGTGTTAATCTCTCACAATCAAATTTGGAAATAGAAAAAAAATGGTAAAGATAAACGAAAAAAAAAAGACTGAAACAACAAAAAAGGTGCTGAGGAGTCACTTGCAACAATCAAGAATCAGTCTCTCTTTGCCCCCTCACTTAAAAAGCAGATTAAGATTAATATTATTGATCATCCTCTCTCTCTCTCTCTCTCTCTCTCTCTCTCTGGTGCAAACGAAATTCACTCTCACCCAATCTCTAACTTTATTCTAAAAACAAAACAACAATCATAAAATTTATTCCCATCCCGTCTCACCGAATCTCCACTTTCTTCTGTGCTTGTTATTGCGAGTGAACTATTTTTGTAATTCACTAAAATCACAGGTATTAAGAAGAACCCATTAATATTCCCAGTGATGCAGGCAGCAATGATAACTCATATTTAACTGTTCTACAATTTTATGGCTTTATTTGTTCGAAACTTATGCTCTGCTATTTTATAGGTAGTATTTGTCTGATTTGTAATTATTTTATTGATTATATATTTTAATTGTGACAATTAGCAAAAAATAATCTGCATATGGAAGAACTTACAAGAAAGAGAAAAATTAAAAATTTAATTGAATCTCGAGAAAAGAAATCTAAATGAATTTGTTATTAGTAACAAATAAATTATAGGTGAAAATTCTATAAATGAGCAAGTAATGGATCCTAAAGAAGTAGAAGATAATTAGATAATACAGTGAAAAGATCTTAATGAAATTATCCATAATTAAGTATTTGTTGTCAATATTATAATTTAATTGATTTATTTTATGTTTTTTTAACATGTAAAAATAGATAAAACGTACAAAATTTGAAAGTCCTACAAATTTTTTGTTATACCACTTTCTCATGAGAGCTCGGACATTTATTACAAGTCAGAATTGGACCACAACAGAATTTCGGTCTATATCGGCACCATAATATTAGATTGAAAAGGAAAATCAGAATTAGAGAATGAGGAAAGACCCCTAATTTCACAGTACCTGGGGAACACAAGTTTATTTGATGTATTATGTGGTATGTGAATACGAAATAAGATGTTTAAAGATTAAATTAAAAAATTATGCATATTGCTCCGATACAAAAGTATACGCATGAGTGGAGCTACATAGGGGCGAGGATGGGCATGGGCCCACCGTCAATTTTAAAAAAAAATATTATATGTATACTTATACTTATATATTCTAAAAATTATACATATATTTTTTACTTGTGCCCACCCTATATTTTTTTTCTTATTTCAATTATTTATTTATTTTTAATTGTATTAAAGCTTTATCCGGATAACCTTAATTTTATTATTTATGAATTTTTGCAAGTAAAAGTTCTTACAAGTGACCTTCATTTGACTTTTTTTTGTTCTACAAGAATTCGACTCTATTTCTTTTCAAGTATTGATTATATAAATTTTATTATGTGTCAATCGATTTTCAATATTTTTACTATGTCTACCTTTTAAATTTTAGTTTAGTAGTTTTATTATGCTAATATCTGAGTGATAATGTTTTGAAATAACGATAAATTTAATGAATTGTTAGCGAATAATTGATATTTTTTAATTTAAAAAATGACAATTAGCTATACTTTTTTACAATGGTGATAGTTAATTATTTTTTTTATACATATACAATATACATTAATTTTGGGCCTTTTTTTTGTTAAATGGACTTCGTGATATAATAAATATAAATATATTATATAAGTTAATTGTTTAGGAGAAAAAAAAAATTAGAGTGTGTAATTAAAATATTAATTCTAAACAAAATTTCAGGCTTTGCCCCTGTGCGAAGGATCCAAATATTTAGTTATTATCGAATACGTAGGAAGTGTATCCATATTTTTGGTTGTTGAAGGTGCAATTTTTTTGTTTTGTGTGTCATTTTAAAATAATATTGTTTCAAGGGGTATTATCGCACTCGTCACCGATGACCATTTGTCATGGTAATTTAGACATTATGTGATACTAACACAAGTGCTTTATCTCTCAAATTACAAATGATAATTTGGATCAGCGGTTCCTTTATCTCTCAAATCTTTACTCAAGATTGTAGTAAATCAAATGTTGAAAAGCCAAGCACATACTTGAGCTAAAAAAAATTAAATTTCCGACAATTATCCTAAGGTTTGAGACTGCACAAAAGTCAAAAAATAGTTTACCTATATACGCAGAAATGTCTAAAGAGGGATGCTATGCATTCTTTTTCTTTTCTCTTTTCTAGAGTGCAGATGAGTTGAATGGAGAGAGAGATAGAGCTAAGAGAAAGAAAGAAGACTATGAGCCTCTGAATCCACTAGAACACAATTTTCTCATTTCTTTTTAAATTTCTTGGGTGGGACTCTTCTCTAGGGGCCTTATTGATATGAATTAAAGGAATTTAAGTTAATATGTGGTTAGTCGTCTTCTATGTTCAGATATGTAGATGCATGGGTGTACTAGTTTAGAATTGTCAATAGATTGGTTTGTGTCATATTTTTATACTGTACAAATCGTGTTGTCTATATAATTCATACTCGACTAGTTTATAATTGTGTAGAATTCAGTTCGTGTCGTATATAAACAATGTTTAGTTGAATTTGTGTCGACCCAATGAATTCACCTGTTTAGCACCCTGAGGACTAAAAAAAGAGTTTGAGATAGATGGAGCTTATTTTTTGTTGCACTTTTGGGCCACTAAGAGATATTAATATTCAGTTCTCTTTTTTTTTTTTATCCAAATGTGGTTGTGCAAGACTTGTGGGGTGAGATTTTTGGGTTCAAATCAGGTTAACATTTTTTATTGGTTTAAACTTTTTTCGTATATTCTTGTAAGTCTTAATTTTTGTCGTGGTGTGAATAGGAGAGATTAGTTAAAATATGCATAAGAAAAGTTTACTCACTAGATTGTGGAACAGGAAGTGGGCTTTGGACTGTCAGCTCTTATCCGTGCTGTGCGATCTCTAGAAAAAGGGTGCAAGCTCCTTTCGCAAAACCTGTTCGAGCAAGATGTTAATGTGTTCGTCCCTTCTGCAAGAGGGAAGGAGGAAGCCAGCCATAAATCCGCTTATTCTAACCGATTGGACTATCTTAGCAGTTCGACCTAAAAGGTAGACTCAGACATTTTTGACCGTTGAATAAAAAAATAAAAAAAAATGAAAAAGAATTCAAGTATTAGACTTGGTAAAAACTATACATAGAAGATATTGATCTTTGTAGTTGGTAGGTGAGACCTTGGTCTAATTCGTGATGGGCCAAAGTGTCACTATTTATGGATAAACTATTGAAAAAGACTACACTTTTCTGAACGCCAAACAAGTGTAATATTATTTTTTGAGCAATGTTATAGGAACCTTATTTAGGATTATTATTTAGAGATCTAAAGATATGACTTTAATATAATTATTAGATTAATTGTGAGTTCTAATATTAAATAGAGTCCACAACCAATCCAAACGATTTAGAATTTTTACTAACAAACCATGGTGCAATCAAAGGGTAGGCGATGAGGATCTATGGAACTTATGGTGGGTTCTGCAAGTACTAAATCTAATTTCTAGAATTCTGAAAAGGCACATAGGCACATTATTAAATGAGTAATGCTACATGAATTAAAAAAGTAGATTTAAAAATTAGATTTGATAATCTCAACCATTAAATAGGTAGTGGGAACAGCTATCTCCGCTGCAATTTTTAAAACATGTAGGGTATATTTAAAATTTTAAAAAATTTAAGACATTGCCCCGAGTGAAATATTATCAAAGTTCATGGGTAAGTTTGTATTTTACAAACAAGTGTGAAATATTATCAAAGTTCATGGGTAAGTTTGTATTTTACAAACAAGTGTGAAATATTATCAAAGTTCATGGGTAAGTTTGTATTTTACAAACAAGTGTGGCATTATTTGTCTTGGATAGACTTTTAGCTGTGGGCTCATATGTCCCCTGCTACCATTGAGATTTTTTATAAAAACAATAGAAAATGAGAAATAATATTTAGATCTTATTTAGAGACCTAATGATGTGGTTTCAATATAACCATTGATGGACGAGAAAAACAGCGAGAAGAAGACAAACAGAGGGAGGAAGGGAGACCTATTTCTATTGCCTTCCCTTTCTACTTCTAGACTGGTTCGTCGGCGGGACAGCGAGCCAAGATCCGATTCGTCAATCGACGAATCCATGCTGCGTAACCTGGCAAAGGGGAAAGAGACGATGGCAACGCATCTCATACAAGAGGGAGTCCGAACAACCTTGTACGTACGCCGCCCACGCGAAGAAGTTCTTCTCTAATTCCAAAAAGTCAAGCCACCATTATTCTTCAGTGATGAGCTCTAGCGAACAAATCTTATGTGTTTTTCCCAGAGAGAAATGTCTTTCCACTAGAATAAGTCCGCTGCGAGCCGAGACACTATTCACCAAGTGGAACTATATACTCTCTTTACTAAGCTAACCGCCCCTTCTCCTATATCTGGCTGCTTCTCGCTCACCAAAGCGTACTTCGTTTCCCGGGACTAGCGGCTCCTTCTTTCTTCCTTCTAATTGGTAAGAAAGCGGTTTTTCCCTCAGGTTCCTCCCTGACCTTAGATGGAGAAAGAAATGCTTAAGGAAAAGGCGCCCTCGAAGCTGACGCGAATGTATTAAAGAGAGCCTCTCTTATTGCCTTATTTGAATCGGCGTAAGGAGGTTCAGTCAAGTATAGTATAGTGCGGCTTATGGTTCTAGTAGCACAAAATATAGAAACTCTACTATGCTAGTTCACTCTAGAAGACCTAGTCTGACTATAGTTAGTAGTATAGATTAGTTAGATTCGTAGGACAGAAGAAGAGCCTTTACTTTACTTTAGAGAGCGGTAAGTTAGTGCTGCTCTAAGGAAGTGGTAGCTGTTCCAATACACAAACAAGGTGGGTTGGGGTTTAGGAGGTATTTTGAGCGCTTGACTAAACTAAACTAATAATATAGGGCTTTTTCAGCTTGATCGGAATCGATTCTATGATTGAAAAAAAATTTTAATTTTAATTTTAAAAATTTATTTTTATTTTAAACAATCATGGTCTACTAATTTTAATTTTTCAAGTTTAATAAAAAAATGAAAAATATTTTGATATATTTTTTGTAATTGAAATCAAAAAAATACGTAACAAAAAAAGAAGAGGATTTGTGTTTAACAAAGAGTGCAAGTGAGAGAGTGCGCTAATTTATTGTAAGTGCGTATAGAGTGTAGTGCAATTGATTGGGTTCCTTAGGAGGCTATGTCTAGGCTGAGTACATGCATGAGGCTTAAGACGATACCTTAATTAAAGGTGTTTATCCTATCTTATGGGTAAAAAATATAATCTTTTGTTTTCTTATCCGATATTTTGCGGAAGAATTTTTTCTTGACCTACTATACTCGATCAGATGTAGTATTCCTATCCGACTTCCTATCCGATTAATCAGGTTAAAAATTGGGTAAATACTTTTGTAACTATTAATTTTTGGATCATTTTAACAATTCAATTAAATAACATTTATCAATTTAATAATACAATAAAATAATAACACTAAAACCTAAAACAATTATAACAAGAATTACAATAAAATACAAGAAAGCATGAATAACTTCTCCAATAGATCACCAGTTCACCACAAATCATGTAACTTACACAAAAACAAATTCATGTTATAATAACTCAAACATCCACAACAATAACAATGTTATAATATAAATTTTACTACACAAATACTCTGATAATTACTAAAAATAATATAAAAAAAATTAAATATATTTTTTGCGGGTAGAATATGGTAGGAATGCGGAAGTTAACGGGTTTTCAGCATTTCTACCCGACTTAATCGGAAGACCAAAAATTTTTTCGCATTCTTATTCGGTTTTTGCGGCTAGCCGTTCAGTAAGGTATGATAGAATCGAATAGGATAGAAAATTGCGACCAATCAAAAATTTGAACACCCCTGACCTTAGCCATTGTTGTTTAGTTAGAAGCCAGTATATGATTTAGTTCGCAAGTGTCAGAGGGCAAAGCTTAATTTTTTATGTCTCCATGGTTTTTTTTTACTATACTAAAGTGTATACCGATGTATACCAAAAAAAAAAAAACAACCTTAAACACCAAAAAAAAGCTGAAGTAATGTTATTTGAACGTAATTTATTATCTTAATTCAATCATTGACAATTTGAGCCCCGATATTTGTTATGACTTGCTTTTAATAAAATGACACTAACAAATTATGTCATAAGTCACATCCAAGTAATGTTTTTATTCTGTTATTTATTTTTTTGGGATAGGACGAGGGGGAGAAGGAGGAGGAAAGGGGGTTTGAACCCTTGATTTCAAAAAAATAAAATCTTCACAAGGTAAGAAGTATCATTGGACCAAAGGGCCGTTGATTTTTCTATTATTGCACCTGATGAGACATTTTCAAGTACTCCAAGATGAAGACACGTGTCTTCGGCATCAGTAAATTCTTTTCCTATAAACACGACACGTACCCGTCGGATCACAAGTCCCTGTTCCCCCGAGGTACTGTTCATAGGGATCAATGACATCTAGTACGTTTACATACCGACACATATCCCTCGAGGTCGGATAGGGTACATTGGTCCTACATGTACCAATCCCCCTCGGTACCGAGATGTACCCTCCATCCAGGATGGCGTTCTCTGCTCCTGCAGAGGCAATTGATATACAGGTCACTAGCCTAGGCTAGACTAGGTTAGCTATCATGACCTCGTCTTACACAATTGGTGTCAGAAGGCACAAGAAAGCAGGGGACACAGCCAATGGGGAATGGACGCGTGGCATATTGTGTCACATAAGAGACAAAAAGACCGGATGCCCTTGCTGACACACGACTTGAGAAAACAAGCATTTAATTACACCATTTTCTTGATGAGACAACATTTAATGCGGTAAGGCTCGGAAGTGAAAGGTAATAAATGTCCATAAGGCTGGACATTTATTACATCCTTATCGAGAGGAGCTCATTAAACGGTCGGCAGACCGATGACACAGCCTTGGTTGCTCGGGATCCCGAGCAGTTAAAAGAGAAGACATTCCTCATAGGAATTAGTGCGCACGTTGCCCGTATCTAATGATCACCTACTGACCACACTGACAGCAATCATGAGTATTTGAGGTATAAATACTCCTCACAAAAGGTAAGATAAAAAATAAGGTGAAACCTTTACTCAAACTTATACTCAATGTTTTCTTCTTCCTCTCTCTCAAAAACTGACTTAATCGTCGGAGGAGATTCGCCGAAAAATACTTCGGCGCCCTTCTAACTTATTTTTCTTTGTTCCAAAAACCTTCCTCAGCCTTACTGGATCGTTCCGTTGATCCACGAGGGTCTCCCATTATCGTTCCAGGTTACCACCGGACCTCACAGACTGTTCCAAGCAGTAGGGTTGACCACTCGACTGACTCACTCGAGTTCACCAAAAAAGAGATCTATTCTCATATTTATATTGTACAAGATCCAGCACGCACAACACCCTATAGTAGTCTTGTTCCTATCTTTGATTAGAAAGAGAAGTATCACATAAAGTGCATATCTGCAACTTGGGTTTATCAATAAAACCACGAGCAGCCTGAAATATGGGATTGAATTAGTAGAGTCAAGAAGAAAAATTTCCCCAAAAAGAGAATTAAAAAAAAAAAAAAAATTCGTATATCATCTTGCTTCTAGCAGTAAGAACTGAAGTTAGAGTTGGGGCTTTGAATTTTTTGTTCTATATTGATTATCTCTCTGACTTTCAGAAGTTTCTGTGCACAACTACTTGCCAATGCACAAGCAACAGCAGCTGAAAACAACAAGGTCTATTAATTATATATTCATGAAATTCTCCTATTGGAATCTTTATTCATGTTTGTGTTAATTGGTTGAAATTTCTTGTAATTTAGAGTGTTTTGGGCCTCTTTTGATTTGTCTCTTTAAATAGATGGGTGTGTGTATGTGTATGTAGAGAGAGAGAGAGAGAGAGGGAGAGAGAGAGAGACCTTGTAACAGGGCGAGAGACTTGGGCCAGTGGCTTGCATTCTATTCCACGAACAGTGACCATATTTGGAATAGTAATCAAATTCACGAGAAAATCTAAACCGTGATAAGCCTCGAATCAGAAACTAGCATAACCGGAGAAGCAATAACCCAGAAAGAAAAAATAGAAATTGATGGGTCAAGTCCAAAGGCTCAACTCATGTTATAAGCCCGATCCAAGTTAAAGGCTCAATTCCAAGAGATGTACCAAGTCCAGCCCAATGTAGTCAACCTCAAAGAGCTACATCAGTAGAGAGCATGCAAGGTCATCCTCCTCTTAGCCACCTTGGAGTAAGGGGGTCATCCAAGAGCCTCCTTCTAACCACCTTGGAGTAATGGTCGTCCAAGAGTCTCCTCTTAACCACCTTAGAGCAAGAGTTATCTAAGAGCCTCCTTTTAGCCATCTTGGAAAGAGTCAACCCTCACCTCATCCTTTGACCGAGTCCTATGGAGAGTATTGTAACTGTCTCGCCTGTTAAGAAGAGGTCACCACCTCTGCCGGATCAACTGTTTAATCACCACTAACTCACCCCAATCCATTATGACTGTTAGACTAGTTATTCAATTACTATGCGTTATGTGGCGACTATAAAATGTAAGTCCCGCCAACACTTGGGGGGCAACAAACTCATTCGGGCATAATTCTCTCCTCACTCTCTCAAAGCTTGTAATTATTTGCTCTCCCTACACATCTGAGTTAATAAAATACCCTTGACCCTTGTCATTTAAAGTAGACGCAGGTCATGTTGATCGAATCATTATAAACTTTGTCTCTATCTCCCTCTACTTATTTTACTGCATTTTATACTGCTTTCTTGACAGGCTATGTGCAAACCAATTTGTGCATCATCAGTTTGGCGCCGTTTGTGGGAATGACAAAATTTTCACCTAAACACTTTCTTTGTTGAATCAAAGGTGATCACCACCAGATCCATGAATCAGCCTGAAGACATTCCACCACGAGAGGAAGATGTTGCTCCTCCACCCAATCTTGTCCCAAATGCGCAGTAGATGCTGGAGACCATGTAGCAGCTTATAGCTCAAAACCAGCAGATTCTGCAACTGATGCTCAGACAACAAGGAGGAGCACAGTTTGGACCTCAAGTTAGAGGAGTTCTACGCCCTGCTCATCAAGGAGCTCCCTATCATCTAGGGGCGCTCCACCTTTAGGCGCCTCACACAAGGAGGCCCACCATGAAGGACCTCCACCTCTTCCTCC